TCATATAGCTGTCATAGGAACGATCGGAAAATTGGTGGAAAAATAATATGAAACAAATTATAGCTTCGGTGTATTTTGACGTATTACTATATACTATTGGGAATATCATTTTTTGTATTTATTAGATTTTAGAATTAAATTTAATAATAACAACTGCAAGGGTATACAACTTCCTTTAACTTCCTTTCTTGTTTCATATCAAAAGTAACATCAAAAAGTCTTCGAAAAAAAAATGACTGCCTTGTATTTTTGTGTATTAATGGTATTAAAGATATTTTTTGACTGCATTGCGGCGGTCACTCTAACATTCGACGAACAATTTTTATACAAAAGTGAAACATTTATGTTGTTTATTTTGCTTTGTTCTTTCTTTAGTTCTCATATTCAATTGTATTTACTTGATGTTTGTCTAATTCGCATTTATTTATTTCTTGGACACTGGCCGGGATGCCGGGAGGCAAGTAGGCATCCACCACTTTGCTGTGAAACTTCTATAGAGGACGGAAGATGTGTTCTGTTGCCCTGATGCAAACCTACAGGAGGCATCCGAGTACAGAGTGATCAATCATATATTGCTAAGCCCTCGAATTATTTTTATAATTGAACCGAAATTTATACATATAAAATAAATATTTAAAACTAACTTATGGGCTTTACCTATTTATGTTAATATTGATATTACAAACATATCAATCTGATATGAAGGAATAACAGTTTGATATGAAGGAATAACAGTTTGATATGAAAGAATATCAGTTTGATATGAAAGAATATCAGTTTGATATGAAAGCATATCAGTTTGATATTGAAAAACACCACACTGGTATGAATAATACCATACTGGTATTAAAAAAAAGATAATATCACAAATTCGATATATGTGCGCATATCAATCTGGTATGAAAAATACCATAATATCAATATCAATCCGATATGGCAAAATTGATACGAAAATATATCCTAGTACTCAGAGTTTCACTAGTCGAAAAATCTTATTCTTTGTAGTGTGTTCGAAGTTTTTAAAGTTCACCCACAATGCATGTAGCATGGTCTTACTGTCAAGCAGCTGGGTTTGTTGCCAAACGGAAAACAAATCAATTGGAGAAATTTAAAAAGGAGGAGTGTGCTGGTACACAAATAAATTTAAATAAAAATAAATAGAATGTTCAACAAATGTTTGCATTTATGTAAATTGGTAGTTTAAAGCTTCCTTCTCGTTCCACGGATGCTTCGCCATCTTTCCCGCTCCACCGCAGTACAGCTCCGAGTCCGAATAGGCACATTGGACCTTGAGGAAGTAGGAGAACGGGGTTGCAGGAAGTCGCCCAGCATCCTAGCAGTGGCTGACTGTGGCTTCTCCAACTGTTCCTCAGCGGGCGCCCTGTTTTCCTCCTTCCTATAGAAGCCGGAGGGTCCTCCAGCTCCGCTTAAGCTTAAGCTTAAGTGATTCTGCTAAAAAGATACTTCTATTAGTACAACGCAACCAAATTGTTTTGGCCAGATCTTGCTTTCTTTGCGAGGGCGCGCGCGGCAGGATGTCCGTGAAGAGATCGAAGTCCCACTCGGCATGTTCCTTCCCACTGGGATTGTCTAGTGGATCTCCTTCCTTTTGTGAAATTGCTTCCTGTCGGTGAAATCCCACAATAAAGGGCATAAGCTTGGATTTGGCGTCCTATTTCATCTGCACTGACCTCCTGCATCCGATTTTGCTGTTTTCCTTCCATTTTTAATTTTTAGTTTCCACATCGCCTTTTCACGAACACCGCCAAAGATTAAATTTCTTATTCTTTGGGACGCGGCTAACGGCGTTCATCGAAAATTCACTCGCGAAATCTCGTATTTTTTCTGGTATTTCCTTAGCTCATCTGAGTACCGCGCTGAAAAACAGACCCGACGAAAAGCTTTAGCCGCCTGTTTGCCTCTCGGTCACTCCTATGGTTAGCTCGCGGTTTTCGTCGATGTGAGTACTAGGCTTATAGAACGAAGAAGAACTGCCTACTCAATTGTGCTTTTTTTTGCCGCAGCTGTATATATATATATATTCGTGTAGTTTATTCAGCTAGGACCGTTGCTAATCGCGCTTTTTATCTTTATTTAAATACTAAAAATATGTTACATTTCAATTTACAGTCGTAACTAACTAAAGGCATGTCTATTAGCGCGGCCTACACCACACATACCTAGCGGACTGTAACGGTACTACACACCATCATATAACCTGTTCAACTTAGGTAATAACTTTTAAAATAACAGTCAATTTCAATCTACACTTTAACATAAACCTTCACTAGACATGTTTTAGAAGTTGGGCTCTATCTGGATGACAAATCTTATTCACTTTCTAGCTTTTATAGTTTCCGAGATCTCAGCGTGCATACTAGGCTAGTGATCCTGATCAAGTGTATATACTTCATACTTCATAGTATCGCAAACGCTTCCTTTTACCTGTAAAAGTAATGTGCAAATATTGTAATCGCAGCTATCTCACCCTTCTTCTTTTTTCTTGGATACTCTGTTTTTACCCTTTAAAAAAAAAATACAAAAAAAATCATCAAAGCAACGTCTTCAGAAAGCCACTCGCACACTAAATCGAGCTCTAAATTTTCGCCAACCAGTGCAAAACATCCTCTGTGGAGGGCTCACCCAGTCACTCCGATAAGAAATTCAAACTTTTGCTTTACATCTCAGAAACGTCTTCCAGCCGAACCCTGCCACTGGTTCATGTGTCCTACCACAAATCGAATCTGAATCTATTTCCCTATCACCATTGTTTCAGCCAAAGGAGATCGCGAAAGTCATTGGGGAACTGATACCGAAAAAGGCCCCCAAAACTGTTAATTGAACTTCCAAACTCTGCCATTGAGGTTACTTGTAAGCTCTTCAATGAGATCATAACTCTTGGCTACTATCCGAAAAAATGGAAAAAATCTGTTATCATTATGATACCGAAGCCCGGAAAAGTTGTTCGAAAAATGCCTTCTAAATTTGGCTTTCGTCAAAACCATGGAACAATCGAACAAGTTAACAGAATAACATCAGAAATACGCACAGCCTTTGAGCATCGGGAGTACTGCAGCGCAATATTCCTCGATGTATCTCAAGCCTTTGATCGAGTAGGGCTAGATGGCCTCATGCACAAAATCAAAACACACTTGCCTGATAACACTCACAAGCTTCTTGAGTCGTATCTATACACCAGAACCTTCGCAGTAAGGTGAAACCAAAAACATCCGACGACTACATTATCAAAGCTGGAGTCCCGCAAGGAAGCGCACTGGGGCCTACTCTGTTCCTCCTATACACAGCGGATATTCCCACGAACGAGCAGCTAACAACATCTACGTTCGCTGACGACACCGCAATTTTAAGTCGCTCAAGGTGCCCAGGCCGGGTCACAACACAGCTAGCAAACCACCTACCCGTAATAGAGAGGTGGCTATCTGATTGGCGGATTAAATTAAATGAACAAAAATGTAAACACATAACGTTTACTCTCAACAGGCAAACATGCCCTCCACTATCATTGAATAACGTAACGTAACGTATCCCGGCGTCCACCTTGACAGACGACTAACCTGGAGAAAACACATCGAACGCAAGAAAGTACATCTAAAACTAAAAGCCAGCAGCTTCCACTGGATTCTTAACGCTCGTTCGCCCCTGCGTCTGGACTACAAGGTTTTGCTCTCAAAGCCCATCTGGACATATGGCTCCCAGCTAGGGGGAAGTCCAGAAGCAGCAACATAGACATTATACAGCGCGTTCAATCGAAAATCCTGCGAACTATCACTGGGGAACCATGGTATATTCGCAACCAAAACATCCACAGGGACCTACGCATTCTTACCGTAAAAGATGAAATAGACAAACAAAAAGCGTCCTACTATGAAAAACTCTCTGTGCACCCCAATCGCCTCGCAAGAGGCCTGACTTGGGTTTCCAGGCGATCCCGTCTACAACGCAACGACCTGCCAAGCCAGCAATAACTTTTGGGCCCCCTTTAGCACAATATACAATAATTAGTTTAAGATTTGATACACTTATTGTTAGTATCCAAAGGGAGAAGATTCAATAAATAGCAAAGCATTAAGAAAAAAAAAAGTTAGCATAAGTTACATTGAGCCTTTATTTCGGTATCAAGCACACCTTTTAAATGTTGAACAACTATATTTGAGTTGGCGGTTAAATTATTCAGTTATCTTATCGGTTCCAAGGTTATAATTTTTAACTGTAAATTTTTTTCTAATTGGCCTTGTTCCATTGTACTACTTGTGAACACTTCAAAGGTGTGCGTTGACAGTATTTTTTGGTTCAACACTAAATTTCGTTAACGGTGCTACAAAAAATGTGAATGGCAAGTCCAGATGCGAGTCAAGGTGAGGGGATTGATATGGTTTCTATACAAAATCATAAAGTTATTCAAAAAGTTTTCCCATCAAATCGATGTACATTGAATAAAAAGAAAAGTGCCCCAAAAGCTGAATAGCTCTTAATCAATCATTTTATACGTAAATTCGACTTACCAGACTGCTATAACTTTAAAACCCTGTAGTCTAGTTTAGTAAAAAAAACGGTTATAATTCTAATCTTTAGGTCGGAAAACCGTACCGTACGCACGAATGTACTTTTATTGAGTTTTTTAATATTTTATGCAAAGTAAGCCATGAATTAAAGTCTAATTAAAATTGATAATTTTGTTAATGTCACTTATATCACAACAAAAAACTTTAAAAAATAGCTAAGCAATCAAAAGCGACGCTATACATATATAATTAGCTTGAAAATTGTATGATAAACAATTGATACACATAAATAAAGTAAGCTTTTTTGTATAAGCGACGTAAACCAATTCTTTTTTCTATCATATATTCTAATGTTCTAGTTTAGAGAACCTATAAAATCCTTATATTGTGTAATGTGTTCCTGTGTTTTTGTATTTCACACGTGTCATTTGTTTTTTTAATATATATATATATATAACTATATATATATATTGTATATAATATATATTATATTATTTATATGTACATCTTAGACTACTAAGTCAAAATAGAACGATTATATTATAGTGTCCAGTTGCCGGGCTTGGTGTAAAATCTTTTTTTGATGTCCCACCAAAGTAATACCCATATCCGACAATTGTTGAGCTGTTAACCTAGAAATCTGCGTTCGCATACTCGAATTAGTAACTCTTACGAACACATTAAAATTTGATTATCTTACCTGTTGAGCATTAATTAAATTAGCCTCTTTAAAATGATGACAGTATCTTGACATTTTAATATGCTCCAACCAAAGGTCGGTGCTTATAAAAATATTTTGACCACGCTGTGTATCCAAAATATGCGTACCGTCTGATTCGGGCGAGTTTCGAGTTGTCAATAATGACTGTGGTTGTCTTGCCAAGTTGTCAAGAGTTGAAACGATGCTGGCAAATGTGGGACGATGAGTACGTTGCTTTTGCCAGCAATCTAACATTAGCTGGTAGAGGGCTTCTGGACAGTCCATGGGAGCTGGTAAACGGTAGCCCTTTTCTATACTCTTTATCACGTCCTAAATAAAATGTATAGAGTTATAATAGGTACAATAACAGTTAATCGTTTTATATTAGTTTTACCTGATTTGACCAGTTCCAATATGGACGCTCTCCGTACGACATAACCTCCCATAAAACTACTCCATAAGACCAAACATCCGATGCGGAAGTAAATTTTCTAAAGGCAATAGCTTCTGGCGCAGTCCAACGTACTGGAATTTTACCACCCTTCAGATAACAAAAATATACAAATTATTGGTAATTTATGGGAAATATATGAACGACGTTTATATATGTGTGTTAGAATTTTACATTTATCTATATTAAAACAAAAGAGAACGATGAAATACGCTGTAGTTCTATAGAACGCTATTGTCCAATTTTCTCACTCTGGCTTCAAAAATGTGGGCAGAACTTAGCTGCTGAAACAAAGCCAAGTCCCAACACTATAGCTCATAGTTTCCGAGATCCCAGCGTTGGTATGGACAGACGGACATGGCTAGATCGACTCCGCTAGTGAAGAATATACTTTATGGGGTCGGACACGCTTCCTCCTACCTGTTACATCTAGTGTTTTTTAGATACAACCATATTAAAATAAAGAAAAAGAAACAAAAAAAAAGAATGCGACTAGATTCCAATTAGAATCGAGCATTGCGGGTTCCACGGATAAACTACGGGTTCCACGGTTAAACCGCGGGTTCCACCCGACTTACGAAAGAATTTTTTGATCACATGTCCCCTCTACGTACTACTTACTCTTTGGTAAAAGGTAATTGGCAATTTATTCAGTCATGTCAATGATTCAATACTTTGCATTCAATCTATTGCAAAAAAAACATAGCCCTATCAAGCCATTAAGCAATTAAACAAATGAAAAACCGTGATGTCCTATCTATTATACATACCCGTGTTGTGTAGGCATCACTGGCGTTCTCAATTTCGCGTGATAACCCAAAGTCCGCGATCTTGCATATTAATTGGGCATTAACAAGAACATTTCGTGCCGCCAAGTCTCTGTGTACATAATTCATATCACTTAAATATGCCATCCCGCTGGCAATACCTCGTAGCATTACTATTAGCTGTAAGGTTTGAAACTTTCCATCATTCACACGAAGAAATGTGTCTAGGCTGCCGTTTTCCATGTACTCTGTAATAATCATTACTGGATTTGAGCGTGTAACTACTCCCTGTAGATAAATAACATTGGGATGATCGAACTGTCCCATAATGGAAGCCTCCGTCAAAAAGTCACAGCGCGCTTTTTCTGAAGATCCTGTTTAGATAAATATTTATAAGACTTTTGTAAAATCATTCCCGGGTAGCTCTTAAGGGAGGTGGATTTCCGTCCATCCGCCTTAAAAACGTCCCCTTTTTATATGTGTTTTTTTCGATTTTTTTTTTGCACACAAATAAAAAATAAAATGGTAGATACTGTAATAAAGAAATCTTTTTTTTTAAGTAAAGGTAAAGGGCGAATAATAAAAATAATCTAGATAACACCCCAATAAGATTTTGAAATAGATTTAATTTCTGGGTCCCGTGACCCTACCCTTAAGAAATGTGTAAGGTGTAAATCTTGTAGTAAAATAAGCTTCCATCTGAGCTTTAATAACTCTTTGAAGCCGTTCTTTGTACTTGCTTGCTCAGCACTGCGCGTTTGGAGACTGTTACTACTTCGGATATCGAAATGATTGTACGCAAGTAGTATTGGAAACAATATTGGACAAAATAAGAATTTTTCATCACTCTGGATGGGAAGTGCCCCTTAAATCCCGGAAAAAATTACTTTACCTGGTTTTAAAGTCTTTATGGCCACATCAATGTCCTGTACAAAATTTGGTGGTATTTTTAAGCGGCCACGGCAGACATCTCCAAATTCTCCACCGCCTAAGAAATTAGTTTTTTATTATTGATAGTTCAAAACCATTTGACCTATTACAAAAACTTACCGATAATAGCCTCTATAGTAATGTAGTTTGCATCAATTTCGCGAGCAAATTCCCTTATGGCTTGATTAGGGTCTTCATATGTATGCGGATCTACATAACTCCTACTATTTCCAAATAGAGGTGTTGTCACTAAAAACGACAACGGAAAATAAGAAGCTTTATAAAATTACCAGTAATCCGCATTAATAATATAAATAAATATGTATTTTTCTTAATTCCACATAACATTATATTTTATTTTTTGAAAATTATTTTTAATTTCAGTACCCGTGAAAACGATGTTATAGTTTGTATCAGATTGAATGTTATGCAGAGAAATATAAGTGTTTGAATGTAGAAGAGAGGTCAAAAAGTTGAAAAAGACTTTATTTCTCCCCCGGGCGTCTTAAAAAAATATAAAATAACGCAAACACACTAACCACTATGCCAGCTAGCCTTCTAATAGCGTTTTGTGGGCTCGAACTCTTGTGGGCGCTTTTCTAGGGAAGTAGGTCAAATTTAAAGTCGCAACCAGTTAGGCCACATGGAGTCCAGAAATTGATTTAAAGTTAAGAACAACTTTTTCTTAATTTAATAACGTTTATTCTTATCTTTTTCTTATTTTAAGAACAAAATGTAATAACAAAACCTTCTTAAATTAAGAACTTTGTTCTTAAATTTAGACTGTTTTTCCCCACCAATGGATAGGATATAGCGGATCTACATATGTGCGAAATTTTTAATCTTAATTTTCGTCGGCAAAACTGAGGGCGACCTTGTTATCTATATCTATACTAAGTATTAAAAGAGGTCCGTAAAAACTGCAAGTAGCTCCTGCAGCAAAAACGACGAGAGAAATAATATTCGATTAAACACAAATTCTTTATAACATCTACTGATATCCCTTTAGGTAAAAAATATTTCATTTGCAAACCACCAACGTTTAATACCCACTGGTATCCTGTTGCTAAAAATATTTAATTGACAAATGTATAAAAGATTTATCACATTTCCTTCAAAGAGCAAAACTAATTTAAAATTATAAACTTATTTTGCTATTCGTAAATTGAAATTTCATTCCTATGCTTCAACAAACATAAATGTTTAAGCAAATAGTTTTACGGCTTGCCCTCACACCCGTCTCAAACATCCAAGTACAATTCTAATGAAAGCAAACTCAGAACTCGAATTAAAAAATAAAAAAGTGCGAAAAACGTTTTTTACACTTAAAAAAATCTTAATCAGGGAGGTGTACCTTCCGGAAAACCAAGGTCGCCTACATGGCGTATTTCGTCGACTTTTTTTTGTAAACTGGTGTTATTTTGATTTGCGTGAGGACAATATCGCAACCAAAGGGGTGTTTGCAGACCTTTCATAAAACTACTTTTCGGACATTATAAAGAAGGTTATAAACCCGCTTTAAAATAGTTGTATCGTTTTTTATCTTATATCACAGATAAACTTAGTTATTCAGACGAATATATTGAACAAGTAACTCCACCGCAGGAGCTCGACAAATAAAATAAAGTGACTTTTAGTAGATTGTTCCTCATGTCCTCGAAAATCTTCTAAACGATCAATTAATGTTTGTAGAGTGCAAAGTCTGCCAACCAATTAAAATAAAATCTTTCAAAAAAAACATACCTAATATCGATTATACAAAATAAAGAGATATATTTTGAAAACGCCACACTGTCTCAACACTCCCTAAGGGAATGACATGAACCTCTCCGTCGGTCAATACTGATGTTCAAATTTCAGGCGCAGTTCTGTTACCGGTCTAACATTGCAAGGCTATTATAAAAAAGATTACATTTATTTACCATGGATTTTATTCAAATATGACTTGTGTGGTTCGTTTGGACACTAGGTTTAAAATTATATATGCCCATATTTTTGTTGTTTTTTTCGAGTTTTTACGATATCAACAGACGCCTTACAGTCACTAAATTGTTACAAAATTCCACCTTTTCAAAGTTGGCCAAGGTTTTGATCAATGTAGTCTGTTCACATATTCGGCAAAATTAAAAGGTGACGTTATAATTGTAAACTAAAACATACATCACCTAATTTGGTTAAGCGCAACTCAAAATGTATTTAAATCATGGATAACAAAAAAATGTTCTTAAAAAATCTTTAAAAAACTTATCCATAAAAAACTTTATAGTCTTATTTTTTGTGATCTCAACCAGGAATTACCATCATCCTTCTTGGGGCATTTTGGCATTCAATTAGTTTAGCCGACGTCGTATTGAGCTTGTTAATATTCAATTTATAGTAGTACTATAAAACATGCAACTCCAATAACCAGTTAATCAGACTTAGAAAATAGGAGAAATATATAAATTGACGAAAAGATATACCGTTTAAGTGAAGGGTTTTGACAATTGGAGTAGTATCCATAGAATTAACTAAAAATAAAAATAAAAATAATATTGTATTGAAAAAAGGATTGATAAAGTTTTTAAATCAAAAAATAAAAAATCGGTCAACCGACTTTTTTATACCCCACTAACCCCTTAAATATTTAAAAGGCCTTACATCGGCAAGCCGAACACTAAGTATAAGCAGTCAACTAAAATGTTACAAATATTTATAATCTTTTTTTTTCTTTCCGTTCAAGGCCACCAAACTGTATACGAATATTTTCCTTCAAATAGACAGCTCCTGGCTCTGCTCTACAATTCCACTATTTAGCCCATTTGGACTTACGGCTACCAGCTTTGTGGGAATGCAAGCAACAGCCACATAATATAAATATTGCAAACAATCACTGGAGCACAATGGTATGTACAGGGATCTAGGCATACCGCCGGTTAAGGATGAAATATCAAAACAGAAAGGGGCTTACCATAATCCCGCAGGAAATCGAATACGGGTCTCGAACTGTTAGTTATTATATGTTTACATATTATATTAATATTTTAACTTATTGTTAGTCTCATTAAACAGAAGATTCAATAAATAAAGCAAAATAAAAAAAAGCTGTTATCTGTGGCGTAGCACTATTGATGAATCGATTTTTTAACCGCTTCAACATTTCCGTGCTTAGCTGTATACCACTTATACCGGTAGGTCACAAACCCAAGTCGATTGCCTCGACTGCCTTTATAGGCACTAGTAAAACATACACTCAACATTTTACCGATAGGTTGTTTATCTTGTTTTATACACTCAAAAAAAAATCACCATAAATATTAGAAAATCGCCCGTGATTTCAAAACGCCATTGAATTAAGAAATATTTTCTTGGTTATAGAAAAAATGCCTACTATTTTAGGAATTCGCCATAATTTATTTTTTTTTTGTAATGAAGAAGAGCAAGAACCGTATTTTTTTCTTAAACTAATGGCGAATTTTTCTTGATTTTTTTTCTTGAAATAATGGTAAATTCTTACTTAAATTTAGGAAAGAAATACCCATATTTTAAGAGAAAGTGACTTTTTTATATACATTTTGATGGTGGTCTAGCTGGTAAAGACGTCCGGTCAATAAACAATCGAACAAAAGTACCTGGTTCGAGCCCATGCCACGGCAAGTGTACCCTTTGTTTATTTATTATTTTTTTTTTTTAAATTTATGTAATTTTTATTCTTATTAGTTTCACTTTTCTATTTACCAAATTGTTTAAACGGTTGTTAAAAAGGTTTAGATTAGAATAAACGTAATTGGTATGCGTAAAGCTGGACCAAAAACTCCTAGCCCTCTTTAGTCATTGTATGACAAGAAGCACGCGTGGCCGAATGGTTAAGACGTCTAGCTATGGTGTGAGCGGTTGCGGGTTCGAGTTCACGCCGGAGTTGTCTGAGGTAAGGATTTTTCCATTTGTTATATTTATTTATATGTTTATAAAAAGTATTTATATAAATTAAATCTTTAATAAATTCAGGTAAATATAAACATTTTCAGACTGTATTCCCATGTAATAATTGCCATTAAAATTAGAAACGGTTTTATCCATTTAAAATCCAAAATTGGTATACAAAACCAACCAAATTCCTCAAATGTGAGGTGTAAAATGTAATGTAATTATAAATATTGTTGGGGCGGTGCGGCTTGATCGATGAAATAATTGAAGCCCCAAGATCGAGTGGTACGCAGAAAAATACGCGGGTACTTTTGGGTTTTTACGCGACGTGCGTAGGTGTTTATTAGTACACTTTGAAACAAGAACTGCTTAAGCCTAACTTAACTTAAGCGCCCCAGAGCAGAGCGGAGACTTAGGGGAGAGATAGAGAGGGAGAGCGGACGGCAGTGCGAGCGCGCGAGATGTAGACATCTGGATAAAACTGCCGCTCGACACTGCCTCCTGAAATTAAACGCCCTTTTGGCGTGAACATTCTCCCCCCCCTTGCGAGGACACCCGTAGCAAGAACCTCAGGATAGTAGGTTCAGGAATATTTTGGAAGTATAGATCGGTCGTCCGTATGTAGGAGAGTGTGGTGGGCCTTTCCACACTTGTGGCAGTGATGACCACTGCGGCAGGAGTCCTTGGAATGATTGTGAGCCAAGCAATTGGAGCAGTACTTCTGGATATGTACTTCCTGAAGCCGATTCTGGGGGCTTAGCCGTAGAAAGTGGTGGCACTTCCGTAGAGGATGGATCTTTTGGCAGACTCGGCATTGGTAGGATTTAATACCTCGAGTACGTCTGCCATCCAAGGCGGGGTATGGAATCCAATATTCGGATGGAGTATTCTTAGGAGGAACTTTTTGTACGGAAACTTGCGTTGAATAGGACGAAATGATGTGTGGAACTGAGGCGGATACTGGCCTTGGAGGGTCGGATGGAATCGTCGGAGTAGTAGGACCGCTGTTTCGATGCAGCAATGTGTGATGCCGATCTTGGCAAGTGAGACAGTTGTGAGCGCTTGTGCAATCCCGGAATTGATGGCTACTTGCAAAGCAATTGGAGCACAACTGCTTCCTTTGGATATAGGCTAAGCGATCTTCTACCGTCATCTGTAGGAAGCGTGGACATATACGCACGGGGTGGTTCTTCTTCGAACACAGATCGCAGCCTTTGGTTATCGGAACTAACCTTGTGTTGAAGGAATTTATTTTTGGAAATTCTGCCTCTCGATTTGTGTCTTTGGACTGGACGTGTTGGAAATTGGCAGATCGGAAGCTATCGACGGCCTCAAGAGTTAGATGGCGCTCCGTCAAATATGAATCAAGCTCAAGCCACGTAGGAATTTCGGCTTTATTTTGGATGGATTGCTCCCATAATGAGAGAGTGAGCTTTGGTAGTTTTGTCGAGCACATATAAACCAGGATAGGGTCCCAATTCTCAATATTAACACCGGAAATTTTTAAGGAAGTTAAGCAACCTTGAAAAGTGCGTTGAAGTTCCTTTAAGGCTGCTCCCGACTCCTGTGCTATGGATTGCACATTGAAAAGTGTTTTCAGGTGACTGTTCACCTGCAATCGCTTGTTTTCGAAACGCTCAGTTAGGTTATTCCAGGCTGAGCGAAAGCCGTCATTGGTGAGTGGGGATCTTGAAACTATGGAATGAGCTTCGCCACTTGTTTTTGAATTTAAATGGAATAATTTTTCAACGGGCGTTAGACTCGGATTGTCTATGTATATTGCCGTGAAAAGGTCCCGGAAAGTCGGCCAGCGAAGATAGTCGCCAGAGAAAACCTCTGTGTCGATAGGAGGGAGCCGACAGCCATAGGACGTGGAATTTTGGGACGGAGTTACTGGAGCTTGAGGTATTTGGGAGGAGCCTTTTTGGATTTGTTCCATCAGCTGCGCGGCAAATATTTCATAAGTGGAGTACGTTTGGTAATACTTGGACTTTAGTATGGATTTTGTGTCTGCGGCGCTCTCGCCTGCAGCTATAATGCAGTCGGAGCATATGTCGTATGCTGCCTTTACCGTTTGCCACAAGGAATTGAGGTGATCGCGACGGATGTTACAGGCTGATAACGTTGGTGTAGGAGCACCTGGAGCGTTCACAGTGGCCTCAAAGTGGATCAGACAGTCAGCTGTGGCCATAAATCGGGTTAAAGCGGATTTTACTGATGTTGCCATGACGTTAAATAATTTAGAATTTTACTTCAGATATAAGGAAACGGATTGGAATCAAATTGGAATTTAGGAACCAATTAAGATTGTAAATATATACGGTCACACTGTCGGATAGGCAATAAATATTTATTATATCGGATGGTCGTACTTATGTAAGGAATTACGGACTTTAATATTGTTGGTTTGAAAGGAACACTTTTTGTGAGCTCTTGACCCACTGTGCACTGGCGATATACGTATGTATGTACACTGTAAATATGTACATATGTGGGGTGCGAATAGCGGAATAGCGTTGCGGGAATTGGAAAGACTTCGCTTATGTTTGTATGTCGGTGCGTTTGTTTGTCACCTGCACAACTAAATTGCAAACGATTTGCTGGAGTAAATTTGTGGAATTTGTAACTTTGTTCTTAATATTGGAAATAGTTTAGCCGTATTTGTAGGTCGAGAAAAGTAGTTGGAGTGGACTGTATTAGAATATTTATGTAAATATACACACGCAGCTGGAACACAGTAAAAAATAAAGAGTGCAAATCTTAAGGAAAAATTTTATGACCGGGAATTTTTTACTGCGGCTGAGTTATATTTTACACACGATTGGAATTGAAAATATATTTGACAAATATTTTCGTTGAATAGTAGCACTGAAATATTTACTGGAATTGTTTCAAGTGTGCAACTGTGGGCAAAGGAAACTGGAATATTGTCGGGCACAAGTAACGGAATTGAAATACATATATTAAATGCCGTTGCGTCGGATTAATCTCTTTTGGATTTAGACAATATATCATACAGAAAGTTAGTCGAAATAGGGTTCGAAAAACTGGCTGTATGACCGGCAATTATAGTAAGCGGAACTTATCTGGAGTGTTTCAAGCCTGCTGGGACAAAATCAAAGGAAACTCCAGGAGAGGAAAGTCCAAAGATTTTGAAATCCTGCTCGAACTGGACCAAAATGTTGGGGCGGTGCGGCTTGATCGATGAAATAATTGAAGCCCCAAGATCGAGTGGTACGCAGAAAAATACGCGGGTACTTTTGGGTTTTTACGCGACGTGCGTAGGTGTTTATTAGTACACTTTGAAACAAGAACTGCTTAAGCCTAACTTAACTTAAGCGCCCCAGAGCAGAGCGGAGACTTAGGGGAGAGATAGAGAGGGAGAGCGGACGGCAGTGCGAGCGCGCGAGATGTAGACATCTGGATAAAACTGCCGCTCGACACTGCCTTGTAGTTTTTTTCGCGACGTGCATAGGTGTTTATTAGTACACTTTGAAACATGAACTAGTTAAGCCTAACTTTACTTAAGCGCTCCAGAGCGGAGCTGTGACTTAGGGGAGAGATGGAGAGGGCTGAGTTATATGTTACACACAATTGAAATTGAAAATATATTTGAGAAATATTTTAGTTGAATAGTAGCACTAAAATATATACTGGAATTGTTTCAAGTGTACAATTATGGGCAAAGAAAAGTGGAATATTGTCGGGTACAAATAACGGAATGGTAATACATATATTGAATGCCGTTGTGTCGGATTAATCACTTTTGGATTTAGACAATATATAATACAGAAAGTTAGTCGAAATACACCCAGAAAAAAAAGAACGAAAAAAATCAAGAACATTTTTCATGAAATGCGAACAATCCGTTCTCCATTTTTAGTTCTCACATTTCGAACGTTTGTTCACGAAAATCGAACGGTGTTGGTAACAATTTCTACCGACGAACAACTTGGTTCATGAAAAAGCTGCGATAGACGCGTTAAAGTCTATCGAAATCGATAAATTATCAACATCGTTCATAAAAACATGTATGTAGGTCTAGTGTCCCGATTGTCCGCACACGAAAAATTCGCTCGGTGGTCCAGCTGCTAGAGCGTCCGCCTCCGACACATGGTAGCACAGGTTCGAGTCTGCGAGAAGACGGTTGTGAATTGTAAGTTTTATTAAAATATTATTTCTAATGTTTATATGTAATTCTGTTAATAAATAAATTCTTTGTCTTCAGCAAAATATCCAAAATACATGGAATTCTAGCAATAAGAAAACATAAGGGGGGAAATTAAATAAACCTCTACCAGGCGTCCAGAAAGTCTAGCGTGTACACAAACCTCGTTTTTTTTTAGATTTTTATGCTCTCAGGTTAAGCCCGAAATGTTCTTAAACTGACACCATTCGTTCGGAACCCAACCCTAAAGTTTCGGTCACATTTTACGAACGACCGTTCATGAACTGTCAACAAACGGGCTCACGCACTTTTTGACAACGTTTGGTCTTGATTTTTGAACGTTTCGAACGGATTTTTTTCTGGGTGTAGGGTTCGAAAAACTGGCTGTATGACCGGCAATTATAGGAAGTGGAACTTATCTGGAGCGGTTCAAGCCTGCTGGGACAAAATCAAAAGAATCTCCAGGAGAGGAAAATCCAAAGATTTTGAAATCCGCCTCGAAGGACCAAAATGTTGGGGCGGGGTGGTTTGATCGCTGAAATAGCTGAAGTCCCAAGAACGAAGGGTACAAAAACACGGGGGTACATTGTGGTTTTTTGCGCGACGTGCATAGGTGTTTATTAGTACACTTTGAAACCTGAACTAGTTAAGCTTAACTTAACTGAAGCGCTCCAGAGCGGAGCTGTGACTTAGGGGAGAGATGGAGAAGGAGAGCGGACGGCAGTGCGAGCGCGCGAGAGGTAGACATCTGGATAAAACTGCCGCTCGACACTACCTCCTGAAATTAAACGCCCTTTTGACGTAAACATCTATTATAGTCAGTACATAATACTGTGAAAGGTTTATGCAATTCACAGTTAGATCAACAATGACTTAAATTTAGGGGTATGAAATTTGTTGTTAATCTGCATGGAACAGAAAAGATTAGCTGGCTAACCAAGTAGAAATCTACTAGAAAATTAAGGTAAAATTAGGTTTGCATCCCAGTTTAAGCGCCTTAAGGCAAATATCAAAAAGTTATATTTTACAGATTCGATACGATTAACAGAAATTGATCCATACTCAAGTATCGAGCGGACAAGCGAAATAAATAAGGTCTTAGTTGTATAAGGATCATCAAATTAATGTGACTAATTTTTAATAAAGCCAAGCGCACCCCTAGCTTTATTCACCATAAACGAAATGTGCTCAGCAAACTTTAGTCTAGGGTCCAACAAAACACCAATATCACTTATCACTCAGCGTGTATGTCGCATATTAAGAATTGACACGACATAAAGAAATTCCTTACACTTAGAGCCATTTAAATTCAGTAAATTGTCAAAGCACCATGTTTGAAAATTATTCAAACCGGGTCGTAAGATGGACTGGCAAGAAATATACTTGTACTGCAGGCGAGAAGTTCGTTTATAAATAAAGTAAAAAATAGTGGCACCAGGTTGCTCCCTTGTGTGACACGGGAGGTAACGTGGAGTAGACGAGAGATTATAAAACTGTGGTCATTAACCCGTTTTAGGGCGTTTTCCTCGTTTTTGGGGCGATTTTACAGTAAAATGTTTATCAGTGTATGCTGGATTAAATTTGTTTGATTTTGATGATTTTTTGAACCGAACAGAATTTAAACAAGCAAGACATTAACCAGTCATGAGCATTCCAGGTTACCATATTACTCACCACCAGTTAAGTTTCGATTACAAATACTTGCACTGCTTCCCATGTCTCCCAGTGGCGAATCTTCAGCAGTCAAAGGTTCACGAATTTATAGTGTCACAGCTAAAGGTAACTGCGTAAGCAGCCCTTCGATGATAGGTCTATTATATTTATTATATATTTTAGATAGTGCTCTGGCTGACTCTATAGGCCCGCTGAGCTGTTTGTCCGCTCAATATCTAACAGGTATATATGTATGTTGGATATCGGATCACCTGGGGGTTCTCCTGGATTTCTGAGTTGCAACAATCTGCATCTTCCACCTACTGGGAAAGTTTCCATCGCACAGATAGAAAGACAGGCAAACAGACAGACTTAGGATTAAAGACTGAGATTAACTATGAGTTCAAATTAACATTTCATGCGCGACTTTTCTCTAAAATCAATTTAGTATAGGTCTTATGGTTCTTTATAAATATATTAATAGTTCGCGGGGTGTATATCTTCTTTCGGCTACATTGTCTCCCCATTTAAAATAAATAAATTAATAAACGGGTGTAAATTTCTAAATATTATATTTGAGATTGGTTACAGTTGACTCCACAGTTTTGCGCGGCTTGTGGGCGTTGGAGGTATCGATAGGTATTGACGAGACCAATACATATAAATTAAAATGTTTTTCAAGCACTAAAACTGTAAGAGCCACAGTTTTGGTCGTTTTGTGGGCGTAAGAGTGGGCGTGCTAAGGAATCTAAATCTAAAATCCTTATTCTGTATCTTTGATAGGTTCCTTTTAACGAATTTTTTAAGTTTTTGGGTGGTATTTGGGCGTTACTATGGACGTAGCCACATTTTTTTAAATCAATTAATAGGTATTGACGAGAACCATAAATTTTAGTTAACATTTTTTTCTATCTTTTAAACTGTAGGAGCCACAGTTCTATGCGGTTTGTGGGCGTTAGAGTGGTTTAGAGTGCGCTGTGTACAAAAATACGGAATCTAAATCTGAAATCCCAAATCTCTAACTCTTTTAGTTTTCGAGATCACAGCGTTATCACAGACAGACAGATCGACTCGGCTAGTGATGCTGATCAAGACAATATATACTTTATGGGATCGGAGACGATTCCTTCTACCTTTTAAATACTTATCCCCGAATACAATATACGCTTTTAGTCAACGAGTAATGGGTATAAAAACTTACCTTCATTGGTAGCGTAGTCTAATGGTAGAGGTAAATGATTGGTCGATTTTTTATCAAGTTCATCCTGATGTTTGGATCTCATGAAGTATACAGTAGCTATTATGAAAATCACTAGAAAAAGGACGCCCGTCACAATGGCACCAGCAATAAATCGTATTTGTACGGAATCGTCATACACTGTTATGATGGAGAACTTGGTTAAATCATTATCGTCAATGTGTACGGGGACACAACTTACCTGACCCGACGGATTGAAGAGTTTGGGCATAAATCATATTACTATAAGAACCAAACCCATTTATCGTTTTACAGCGAACTTGAAATCCATATTCGGTATTTTCTAACAGTCCTTCTATATGTGCCTTTGTCTCCTTTGTATTCAAAGCTGTTTTATTAATGGCATCTAATTCTACCTTGGGAAACCAGCGCAGTTCATAAAACTCAAGTGGAGAATCACTTTGAACAGGCTTGTCCCACTCTAAATCGGCATCCTTACTAGTTATCGCCAATATACGTAGGTTAAATACTGTAGATAGCAAAACAGACTCTGTAGTAAAAACTATTTCGGCGTGACTGGTCTTTACTTCATTCAAATCCAAGGGAATGTTAAAAAACGACGCATTAGAAAACGTAATATCATTGGTTGCTATAAGTGACGATTCGTTGGAGTGCCGGCTTAAGTCGGTAAGATGTGACACGCCATTAGTTGCGTGTATTTGCACGGTATAAGTCGTTACCGGTTCAAGATTTGTTAGTGTTATTTTCGTTTCGTTGAAAGTGTCACTTGACGGATTGTACATCACATTTGGGCTGCACATATTGCACCGGATCTTGTACACAATATCACTGTGGTACTTTTTTGACTGCGTTTCGCCCGAGTGCGTTTTATTCTTTGTTGGAGCGCTCCAAGATATTATGGCACTCGTTTGATCAACAAACAACAACGTAAGATTTGAAGGCGCAGCTGGTGGACTATAACAAGGCATATGTCGGCCGTCACTTGGATGTCTATAGTATCCCGGCATACACTTGCAAAATGGTGATCCAGTTTTTGAAGAATTTGAATTAGGTGGACAAGGCGTACATTTTGTTACGTCTGGTGATTTAAATGTACCAAGTGGGCATTCTGAAAATACAAAAATTAAAATACATAAAATCGAATCTTATGACTAAATAAAACTATTTCTCGGGATCAAGCAAGAGAGATCAAGCGATCTTAATATAAGGTTTTTTTGGGTCAATCAATAGGTATTGACGAGACTAATACATTTCAGTTAAAATTTTATTCTAGCATGAAAATTGTGGGCGCCACAGGCTTAGGCGGTTTGTGGGCGTTAGAAAGGGCGTGGCAAACTTTTTTTTCGGATCATTAAATAGGTATTGACGAGACTTATACATTTCAGATACATTTTTATTCTAGCATCAAAATTGTGGGCGCCACAGGTTTGGGCGGTTGCGCTGCGTACAAGGCTACGGAATGTAAATCTGAAATCCCAATTCTCTATCTTTGATAGTTTCCGAGATATCCGCGTTCATATTTAAGATTTTTTGAAGTTTGTGGGCGTTAAAGTGGGCGCGGCAAACTTTTTTGGATCAATCGATAGGTATTGATGAGAACAATACATTTCAGTTAAAGTTTTTATTCTAGCATCAAAACTTAAGGAGCCACAGTTTTGTTCGGTTGGTGGGCATTAGAGTAGGTGTAGGCAGTCTTCTGAAACAAACTTGCGCTGCGTAAGAAGCTCAGGATTCTGCATGCCAAATCCCAAAAGTCTAGCTCTTATAATTTCCGAGATCTCAGCGTTCATCCGGACGGAAAGATAGACGAATAGAAGTACATGGCTAAATCGACTCGGTTAGTGATCCTGATCAAGAATATATATACTTTATGGGGTCGGGAACGCTTCCTTCTGCCTGTTACATACTTTCCGACGAATCTAGTATACCCTTTTACTCTACGAGTATCGGGTATAACAATTTCACGAGTTCGGGATAAAAATAGTTTAGAAAAAATACTGACCTGTGCAAGTTTTATTTAATTCATTCGGTTCATAGCCGACCTTGCAACGACAGCCACCTGTAAGAATGGTCCATTTTCCATCACCTTTGCATAAATATGTTGGGGCCTCGTACGGTTCCGCGTTTTCGACACAAGTTCCATTTTGCTTCTCGATAATAGTTATTTCTCTTCCCGTGGGTGTTTCGTTGAAGTGGGCGAAATTCTCGGTAACAGCAGGACACGTTATATAATAAACTTTTACTGCCAGAACGCTAATACAAGCACCCTGATCTCTGAATGCGAAATAAACGCCTTTTTTGTTCACGGCTATGCTTTTCACCTCCGTGTTTATATCTACATCGGAGTTTTGATTAAAACGGCCCTCTCCAGCGGCGATGCGAGCAATCAGCCTGTAGCTGTCTGTTTGCCACGGCGGCGGCTCTCGAGTGGCAGCATCAAACTCGTAGAATAGTAAACTAAAGGTTTCCTTGCATGACAAAGCGTTTCCTAAAAAAGAAAAGATGAAAGATTTTTAAGATACCCGGCGCCACAGTTTTGAGCGGTTTGTGGGCGTTATAGAGGGGGTAGAACCCAGCTGAAAAAATCTTGAACTGTGCCAGAATCTCTAGAATAGGAATGCTTAATCGTAACATTCTAACTTTTATAGTTTCGGATAACTGAGCGTTCAGGCAGATGGGCAGACAGACGGACATGGCTAGATCGAATCGGCTTATGATCCTCACCTAGAATATATATACTTTATAGGGCCAGAAGGGATTGCTCCACATGATACATACCTTCTGGCGAGTCTAGTATACCCTTTTACTCTACGAGTAACGGGTATAATAAATAATATCAAAAGCCTCTAACAGGACTCGACCTCAATCGCATAGTCCGTGGGCCATCACTTACACAATAGACAACGCCCTCCTTTGGAAAGGCACGTCTAATGTTCCATATTTGTCGATTTCTTTTCGACAACTTGATTTAAGAACGGCAAATTAGAAAAAAACTTAATTGACTTCTTGGCAGTGCATAACGGCACGAGCGAAAGGGCAAGAGAGAAAAGCGAAGGAACTTTACGAAAATTATGCTCATTAAAAATAAAGTGAAATTGTTCCTTTCACAGAATTTGCTTCGCGACCCCCGTCAGCATTATACGGCCATGGAAATGGTCATGTTATAGTCGCCGTTCTTCTGTAAACATATAAATGCGTATATTTACCTGGGAACAAAGAACAGTCGCGTATTGTGAATTGTATTTCAATGTAGAGTCGGTTTGCTGGGCCACGATCTATAAACGGCGACCACAACCAGTTGTTGACATTGTGATAAGCCACATCGCATACCACATAGCTCCTCCAATTTATGCCCTTTACGAAGTCTGTGAACGACTCTTCTACCCACTAAAATAAATTAAAATGAAAGATAAATATTAGAGTGTTGTACTTGTTATGATCTGGTTTACGGTCCTCACCACCGAAACTCAAGAAAATAGTTTGCTTAATTAACGTGAAGAATTATTTTTAATCGAATTTAAAAGTTAGTACTAAAATTTAAAATATGCTTTTCAACTGTTTGCTTTAAAAATGCCAGGGATCGTAATCGAGTGTGCCACAGAAATATTTTCGGGGAAAATATACTTACGTATGTAAGTATCAACACAAGTTTTCCCCGAATTTCGCCCGAAGAGATTTCTGTGACACCCTGTATAAGTTATTTATTACTTCGTAACAACTAGATTTACATTTTTAAGATTTTTTCAGTGGTATCTTTTTTTTCGAGTAACAATAAAATTTAGGTCATATTTATTTTTGAAAATATAATGTATGGCAATACATACATATGGCTATAAAAGACTACAATATTTGATTAACCATAAAAAATATCAGTTAACTTAAACGCACTTGTCGGGATGTACATACTGGCATTTAAACAGTGAAAGTCGTTTTTTTACAAAATAAATAAATATTCATACTTTATTTTTAAAATCGAAGCAGTTTAGATGCCACGATTTGAAAAGTAATTCCAAGACGTAACATTCTCCTAACTCAAAATTTAACATAATACGTACCCCTGGTGTTTGGGCTTGTGGACCGTATGGATACCTGGTCCACTCCAATGTAGCTTCTCTGGTTGTATCCAACAGAACAACTGCAAAAATGTGTGAGCATTAGAATGTGTTTTACTGGAGGAGATAAAACCTTCTTGAGCAGTACGTACCCTGATCGGCATGCGTCAATCTTAAGTGGATAGTTATTATAATAAGCACTACAATACTTAATAATGACATTCTGGAAACAGTTCGATATCCGTATTTCGTTTTCATTGGTGCTTGAATAATGTTGAACGCAGATTGAACCGTGAAACAAATTTCATTTCGCAGGGAAGTCAGATTGGTTTCGGAAAAAGTGTTATGATCAATAAAATAGTCTCTTGACTCTCCTCTGCCATTGGGATGGCATTTAGACTCCATTTCTAATTTTTTAGGGTTGTTTCCAAGTAGTTTTATTTCGAATATTTCACTTTAACTGGCTTTGACGCACTATGATGCGGATGGTCCAACATTGATGATAGCATCACAATTTCTTTGTGAATCAGGTTCTGGCTTAAAAAATTATTAAAGCAAAAAGAATTTGAGTTAATGCACATTTCTTAACAATTAGGGATCTTTCTCTGTTAACAAATTCAAGGACCTGCTTTTATGCATTCCTGTGTCAGTATTCACTGATATATATACATATATCAGCGCAGGCATACATATGGGCCTGCATTGATACCGATATACCTGCATTTTCCGCTGATGCTACATACATATGTACATACACGTTATGTATATGTACACAAATTGATTGTGTGTATGTATGCTATTGAGCTAAAGGGACGCTAACTGTAATTAGGCATTCGGTAACGTGTAAAATCATTGTATTATTCCTCAAAATCACTAGAATCTCCAAACGCAAGTATTTTAGATATATTATGTTTTAGCACACACTTCATTAATACTGGCAATAAATTTTCAGGCATCCGCGTATTTTCAAACATTGGTTCATTTACTGTTGCCCTATGTCTCCCTTTAAAACGTTTTCAGCGACTTTCGATTGATTGGTAACAACAACGAAGTCATTTTCAGTGCCCTTTTTTTTATAAATATTCACTACTCTATTTAAATGGTCAAAAGAAATTTTCGGTTGATATACTAGGTATCGATAACAACTTAAATGACTGCGGCCTGGAGGTGGAAAAACATCGATTAGGAAGTATCGGATAACTAATGTAAAATAATACATATACCGTTACATTTCGATTTCTGTAAATTTACATGGTTGTAAATTAAAAAGGAACATAATCTTAAAATTTTTGTAATTAGTTAATAGTTTTCTAAAAATCGGAGAGCTCTGTACATATAATGGGAGCATTATAGAACGACCTACAAGGGTATAGAAACTTTGGCTTATTTTCTTGTAATATAGTAAAATGGTAATCATGTGCGTTCAGCAGAATTTTCGTAAAAATTCTTTCAGAGATCAGGTATCATTAACATGTTTTATGATTTTCAACTGGTGGTGTAGGAACGAAGACACGGTGGATTTTTGTCACAGAGATATTTTTAAGTCATAAAGCCTAGTCGAAAATCACTAGTCGAAAATCTTATTCGTTGTAGTGTGACCGAAGTTTTCAAAGTTCACCCGCAATGCATGTAAATGGTCTTACTGTCAAGCAGCTGGGTCTGTTGCCAAACGGAAAACAAATCAATTGGAGCAACTTAAAAAGAAGAGTCTGCTGTTGCACATAGAAACTAAAATTAAAATAAATGGAGTGTTCAACGAATGTTTTTACTTATGTAAATTAGTAGTTTAAAGCTTCCTTCTCGTCACACGGATGCTTCGCCATCATTCCCGCGCCACCGCAGTCCAGCTCCGAGTTCCAATGGTCATTTTGAACCTTGAGAAAGTGGGAGCCGGATCGGGAACGGGGTTGATCCGCTGATGCTGCAGGAAGTTGCCCAGCATCCTGGCTATGGCTTCTCCAACTGTTCGTTAGCGGGCGCCCAATTTTCATCCTCCCTATAGAAGCCAGCGCGTCCTTCCTTTTTGGCCAGATCTTACTATTTTTGCGAAGACACGCCCGCCAGGATGTCCATGTAGGGAGCGAAGTTCCTCTCGACATGTTCCTTCCCACTTGTATTCCCTGGCGGACTTCCTCCAGCACTGCATCTATTCTGCGGATTTGTCCTGTTGTGGTATTGCTTCCTGTCGGTGAGATCCCACAATAACGGGCAACAGCTTGGATTAGGCGTCCTATTTCATCTGCACTGACCTCATGCAGTCGATTCTGGAACTTTCCTTCCATTTTTTATTTATAGTTAGTCTACACCGCCTTTGCACGAACATCGCCAAAGATTAAATTTCTTAATATTTGGGACGCGGCTAACGGCGTTCATCGAAATTCACTCGCTAAGTCTGGTATTTCCTTAGCTCATCTGAGTACCGCGCTGAAAAACAGACCCGACAAAAAGCGTTAGCCACGTATTTTCCTCTCGCTCACTGCTATGGTTAGCTCGCGATTTTCGTCGATGCACTAGGCTTAAATATTAACAGAATTACTACATACTAGAGTGCTATTGCACGAAAGTGTTGATAACTAGTGTCAATAACAAAAACAAAAAAAAATTTTCTTGAATAGGCTAATCGCTTTTTGTATTACCATAAACCATAAAAGGTTTACATTTGCGTTATTTAATTCTATTTATTTATTTTTGAAAACATTAATAGCTACGAACGATGTCCACCTCTTCTGCGGCAGCACTGAAAACGAAAAAATAGAGTCGATGTGGATGTCGGTGTAAATAATAAAGACTTTTTCCATTTTTAATTGAGAAATGCTTGGCATTTGTTATAAAAATTCCAACCATCTCTGCTGATCGGCCTAATCAAGCCAAAATGGCGGAATAGAGCTTTCACAGAGATTTTGTAGACGGATGTCGGTGCAAATAATAAAGACTTTTTCAATTTTAAATTGAGAAATGCTTCCCTAATTATTTGTTGTATTTGAATCGAACTGCCATTTGCTATAAAAATTCCACCAACTTCCTAACGACGCCTGACTGGAGCCCAAATGCATCTCCTACCCGAAAATATCCCACAACGCCATGTTTGGAAAATTGTATATAACAAAAATAGTGAAATACTGAAATAGTTGACAAGTAGGGTTCAACATACCGCTGAAGCGGAGTTGTAACGACTCTTATCCATCTTTTTTTAGAGCATTTACTCCTAAAGCCTAGTACTCAGATCGACGAAAACCGCGAGCTAACCATAGGAGTGAGTGAGAGGCAAATACGTGGCTAACGCTTTTCATCGGGTCCGTTTTTCATCGCGGTACTCAGATGAGCTAAGGAAATACCAGAAAAAATACCTGATTTCGCGAGTGAATTTTCGGTGAACGCCGTTAGCCGCGGCCCAAAGAGTAAGAAATTTAATCTTTGCCGGTGTTCGTGCAAAGGCGATATGGAAACTAAAAATTAAAAATGGAAGGAAAACCCCAAAATCGGATGCAGGAGATCAGTGCAGATGAAATAGAATGCCAAATCCAAGCTTATGCCCTTTATAGTGGGACTTCACCGACAAGAAGCAATTCCACAAAAGGGGCAAATTCGCAGAATAGTTAAAGTGCTGGAGGAGATCCACTAGTGAATCCCAGTGGGAAGGAACATGCCGAGTGGGACTTTGATCTCTAGATGGACATCCTGCCGGGCGCATCCTCGCAAAGAAAGTAAGATATCACCAAACGAATTTGGTTGCGTTGTATTAATAGAAGTATCTTTTTGTCAGAACCACCAGTAACACGATCTCCGACGACCTCTCCATTAGGACTCCGGATACCACCACCACCAGCTACTTGGCAGTTCAAGCGGAGATGGAGGACCCGCTGGCTTCTATAGGGAGGAGGAAAATAGGGCACCCGCTAAGGAACAGTTGGACTGCGGTGGCGCGGAAAAGAATGCGAAACATCCGTGGGATGAGAAGGAAGCTTTAAACTACTAAGTTACATAAATAAAAACATTCGTTGAACATTCCATTTATATTTGTTCTCATTTCTTTGTGTACCAGCAGACTCCTTTTTAAATTTCTCCAATTGATTTGTTTTCCGTTTGGCAACAAACCCAACTGCTTGACAGTAAGACCATGCTATATGCGTTGCGGGTGAACTTTGAAAACTTCGGTCACACTACAAAGAATACGATTTTTCGACTAGTGAAACTCTTAACCGATTTGAGTACTAGGCTTTATGGAAAAAAACTCTCTAAAGCGGAATTTGGTCTCTGATGCAGAAACACCTATGCCTGAACAGACAATAATAGTCCCAATGAGAACATCTCTATAAAAGAGTTGTGAAACTCCTTAATACCCCTTTCCCACAAAGATCCATTCACCATTCGCTCGACGGATGACAGAATTTTTCATAGGCCCTTCTCACATAGCCCACCCATGTGAAACAGTTGGGATTTTGACACATGTGAAACTCAAATTCCCACAGAGTACATCCAATATCCGCGATCCCATAGCAGTTTAAGTGGACAAAAGTCGCTCATCACAACATAAATGAAGAAGGATTTAAACTTGTTAAAATATTTTTTTTTGCTCTTAGCTTATAAAACACCATTAGACAATAGTTAATACAAATGCATAAAAATTGATGACTGCCGGCGTGCCTAACTTTTCAAGCCATCACTCCACCTCTTAGTACTCATCTGGCTGATAAATGTTTATATTGGAAACGTCACGAAAAGTTGCCCAAAATATAATATTTATAGCCAATTATATGTAGGTCGTGTTTTAATGTGGTGCTTAATAAAACGGACACACTGGCTAAAAACAAATGGAATTTGCACATTTAAGCCTAACACTCAGATCGGCTAAGAGTTTCACTAGTCGAAAAATCGTATTCCTTGTAGTGTGACCGAAGTTTTCAAAGTTCACCCGCAATGCATGTAGCATCGACAATGGAAGGCGCAGAAGCAACAGGTTTGGTTAGATTAGCCGAATCAGCTGTTATCTGTAGATGGTGAATGTGCTTGTAGGAATCGGAGTTTCACATTTGGAAACAGGATTGGTTTGATTAACCACAAGTCTTCAGATCAGCTGTTATCGGATGGTAGATGGTGGATGTGCCCTGTGGGAATCGAAGTTTCACATCTGTCGAAAATCCCAACCGCATCAAACGAATGGACTCTATGCGAAGGGGGTATAAAGCTGCTTAACATCATTTAAATGTTTCCAGGATCTAAAAACAGACTTTAAGTACGCACAGGCAAAATTCCATGCTCAGGCAACGTCATATTCATACAGAGAGTGTTTTCGCTTCAGCGACCAAATTCCGTTTCAGCGTCTTTTTCTTTTATAACAAATACATGTGCTAGAGAGAAACGGAAAAATTATTTTTTATTTTAGTAAGGAAATGATCATCCTCCAGCTTATGTTCTTGGCAAGACCTGGCCCACCAAAATTATTGCTTAAAGAATGGATATAGTCATTGACCGTAGATGTTATAAATACCTAAAAGGTTTCAAAAAAATCAAACTCGTAAAAATTGTGGTCCCTATTTAATTTTTACTACGCTGGCCCGAATGAAATTGTCATCTTTGATCAATTTTCCAATAGCAATAATAGCGTTCATCCGGACAGACGGACATGGCTAGATCGACTCGGCTAGTGATCCTGATCAAGAATAGATATACTTTATGGAGTCGGATACGCTTCCTTCCGCCTGTTACATACTTTCCGACGAATCTAGTATACCCTTTTACTCTACGAGTAACTGGTATAATAAATGGAATGTTCAACGAATGTTTTCAATTATGTAGATAAGTAGTTTAAAGCTGCCTTCTCGTCCCACGGATGCTTCGCCATCTTTCCCGCTTTACCGCAGTACAGCTCCGAATCCCAATAGGCATATTGGACCTTGAGGAAGTGGGAGAACGGGGTTGCTCCGCTGATGCTGCAGGAAGTCGCCCAGCATCCTGGCAGTGGCTGGCTATGGCTTCTCCAACTGTTCCTTTTCCGCCTCCCTATGGAAGCCAGCGGGTTCTCCAGCGCCGCTTGAGCTGCCAAGTAGCTGGTGGTGGTGGTGTACGGAGTGGAGATGTTCTGAGGCTTTAAGGCTTTAAGCCTAGTGCTCACATCGACGAAAACCACGAGCTAACCATAG